CGAATGCAAGCTGCTAGAGAAATATTCGTAAACAAAGATTTCTGTTTAGAATAGTTTTTATAAACACTGTTGAAGGTTAGTTAAAGTTAACCATTTATGTGTTACATATAATACTTGTTGATTAGTCCAGTTGATGGAATAAGTTATGTTATATATGCTCTTAGGCCTGGTGTTTTCCCAGGTATGATATAGGCCTAGGGCCTATGCTGCTAGTTAACGATCATAATACACGAAAGGCCTAACTGCGTCGTATGCACGTTCAATTCAGTTGTAATACCATGATAACTATTTTCTAATTGCTCAAATTTATCTGCTGATAACATCATAACAGACTAGATGAAAGAAGGATATTTGGTGATTCTATTGATTCATGTTATAATATTACCATAGGCGGATACGATGCTATGTATGTTGTTTAAATTAAGTAATCATCGTAAAATATGATCATCATTAAGTTACGAGGAATCGCCACTGCGGTAGTGCGTCACGCTTGAGTGCGTACGGGTAGAGCTGCTACAGGTAAATAGCTTGTTGATACATTCACGTTTTACATGTATAACACTGACAGTTTATATGATTGTTTAATGGTTTTTATCTTTGTGGCTATATGATTGGTGAATGTTTTCTTTTGTGTTTTAATTAGCAGAACGAGTTCACCAGGCTATGTACCCACACTAAGTTTATGTTTGTACACGGTATCAATATTCATAGGTTTGAGATGAATAAATGCCCACTACATTCAGTAAACCTAATGGTACGAAGATTTTGTTATTGGAGTGTTAGCACATGACACAAAACAACTTTAAGAGGCGCTAAAGCAGCGACCGCAACAATTATTATTATTATTATTATTATTATTATTACTATTATAATAATAATAATAATAATAATAATAATAATAATATATTGTATGTGTATTGTACATGTATAATGACAAATAAATCTATTGAGATGAGTTGAGTATACCCCTATAATACGACCAGTGGATACAAGGATATGGCGCGACAGCAGGGCGAGGGTTTGTAATTTCAGATTATTTGTGCATCTTATAGAATTTGTTTTTTTATTCATTATTTAACACATTTTCTTTATTAAAATTGGGACAGCAGTTAAAAAAAAATTATAAAATCTGCATCTTACTTCTTCAATCCATCTGCCAAACGAGGCCTAGCATAGGCCTCGAGTAGCAAGCCCATCAGTCGGACTTGCACGCCTTCGGGCTGCTTCCAGTCTGCTGGCCAGAAATTTACACAAAGTCGCTTCGCTCGAGTCGGTCCGCTCAAGACAACCTGGCCTAGCCAAATGACTCAGTGGACGATCATCTCGAGTTAGCTCGACAAGGCTATATAAATAATGTTCTAAAATCTACATCTTACTTCTGATGAGCACCAAAATGATTGTCGGTGGCAGTCCGAACGGATCGTAGCAGTCTGAACAGATCGTTATTAAAAACGATCCGTTGTGCGCGCGTCGTTGCGTTGCGTTTTTCATGTAGAATCGCGTCTGCCGACGACTGTCGTGCGCAGTGAGTTGCCCGGCTTTAGGCACCGAGTTTGGAAATTATAATCCAAATTTATTAGTAAAACTTGTGTATAACCTTTGACCTTGTAGTATTAGTCATCCATAATATGTAACGTTCTACATTTTTATCTATTAAAAGTTATATCATAAATAAATATAAAAAGTTATTATTAATGTGTGAAAGGCAGTTATTACAAAGTGCGACAACTTGATTGTAAAAAAGTGTGAAAACTTTGTTAAAAAATGCGGCAGGTATTACAAAGTGCGACGATTACTTTATAGTGCGACACTACACGCGTTGTCGGGCGTCCGTCTAGAATCTTTTGAAATTGGTCCTGGTGGTGAAGCCCTAAAATTGTTCAGGGGCGGATCCAGAGATTTTCCAGTCCCTCCATGGTTGGTGAAATTAAGTGGTAAACAATCGAGCTCTTATTTCGCCCACTGCTGGATCGAATCTGAACTCATGGGTTCACTCCTTTTCTTCTTCCTTCTCTTTAGGCCTATATAAAATATTTCTTCCTCTTTTTTTGTCGGCTTGACTGATGGGGGAACTGGCCCTGATACCCCTCCCTCCACCGCTAGATCCGCCCTTAGATCCGCCCCTGATATTGTTGAATTAGTTATAACGTTCATGGTTAAAAGTAATAAAAAATATATGCCTTCTGTTGGTCAGTTTTTAAATCAGAGAAGGTCCAATCATCGAAGCAGAAAGAGCATTTTTTCATCACACAACCTTGCAAACTTCACTTGTCTTGGGACAGGTGACGAGCCAATAATCTGCCAAGTATATAACAGCTATAATAATAATGATAATATTTTATTGGATTCACTTTTGCATCAGTGGCACACGTCAGACAATACCTGATGGTGCATCCAAAAGAAAAGAAAAAAAATGTAAAGAAATTAAATAAAATTAAAAACAAAAGGATCAACAGAAACAATAATGAATTATTGGCCTAAAGTTAGATTATGATGGTAACTTATAGAAGTAAAATACGTGGATATATAAGTTGGTGTTCAAAATGGGATAGTATGGTTTGCAGTTGAAATATATAGACCAATGAAATGAGATACAATTTTCTTCTTTTTATCTTACAAGCCTCTGTTAATAGATCAGACAACTGGAGTTGGTAATAAAATAACTTAATCGCAAAATTGGAAATACTTCTGGTCCTATTTGGTCCGGTTTCTATATAACGTTACGCTAGCCCCGAGTTACGCAGACATCCAAGTGATTCCAGCACTGTCCGCGCGTCTGTCATCAGCGTCGGTTACGTCAATTTGTAATCTGAAGTACTGGATCGTAACCCTTGATACTGCCGTGTTTTATTTTGCTGTGCATGGTCAAATTAGATGAATCTCTTAACGTGCAAAAACATAAATCAATCAACTTCTATCTTTGTAATGTTAAATTTATTTGACGCCCTTTGGTGTAAAAATAACAAATCAAAAATCACAGCTAAATCAGTGTGCCTCCGCAACTAATGAAAGTTATTTCTACATATTTTTATACCTCAATGTTTTGATATTGGCCTACCAGAAATAAAGCATATTCAAAACCCAAAATATCAACTACCGAATATAAAAGCTATATCAGTGTAGCAATATAACTATGATCAGAAATTTCAAAATAGCTGACAGAAAGCAATTCCAAATTTAAAAATATCAACCATGCCTATATCAACTTGCTACAGACTTAGTTTAACGTCTTCATATAGAGTAGGCTATAAAGGAGCAACAATATCAAATATCTTTAATACAGCAACTATATCAGTGTAGCAACATATACAATCAGAAATTTCAAAATAGCTAAGTGATATGAAGCACATTTTGAATACGAAATATCGGCCATCAAATATAGCAGCTATACATTATAGCAACAGTTTCAAGCTCAGGTAATTCAAAAAAGCTGATATGAAGCATATTAGTAATCAAAAGTAGTAACTATTAAAATAATAAAACTCCTATATCAGTGCACAAATGTAAATGTAATGTAATACTTTAAAATAACTGATATAAAGCATTATTGTGCAATCAAAAAATATGTGTTTGCTAATGATACTTGTAGATAATTTAAGCTAGATGTGCATTATACATATAACCTTTTAAATCATACATATCTTGGTAAGTTTAACAATTTAGACAAACTGTTTGTCAATTAGTTTATTTTACCTAAGAAATTACCGAACACCATAACTACCACAAACACTTTATGTGAAAAAAGCTTTACACTGTAACAGAAATCAAAACTGTTTATCATAAGCTAGTCTGTCACTCATTTAACCAAACGCATGAAGCTGGTAATTTCCATTAGTTTTGACAGCACGGCGCCTAAATTTGGACCTGTATTGAATATCTGCGTGTTTATCTATGACGCCTGCTGCCGCATAAGGACTGCACCCTTTCCTAAAGTTATACGGAAGTGAATTGAAAATTTTTTTAGCTCCATAAGAATAATACTTATATCCAAAAAAAAATCTACCCCTAAATTTCGTTTTGACCCTTCTTAACACATTCAAGGCGGTTCCTCTATTAATGGTAGCTTTTTTTTGGTCAACGCTTGATAGAGCGACATTTCTGCCATGCTTTCGTAAAAAATGATGCCCGTAGCACCATTTCACCCAATGACCATCTGATCCGCTGATTGGGTTGTAAACAACAATGAACCAATCTCTCCAATCATATTTGTCAGTGAGAAATGCATAGACTTTGTCAGCGAAATAACTGTTACTCTTGCCATCTAACGAAGCCAACTTGGTATTTAAATCGGCTACGGACTGTTTTCTCCAAGCATTGGTCACTTTTCGGTCTACCGTTTTCATATGGTGAATTAACTCTTTGATATTGTCTTTCCAAGTTTTCTCTTCGACTTCATATGTGGCATCTCGACCTTTGGCTTTCAGGTAGAATAAATGGATTTTCACACCCTGTATTATTAAGTTTGTAACTCCTTTCATCATTCTTTGAACTCGTCCGCGGTTGTTTTTTGTATATGTTATGGCTGTTTCTGGAATGTTATCCGACAGAACAGTTTTCCCCATCATACCGCGCCAGAGTTTGTACGTAGCGCCGGAGTAAGACGACTCGTACTCAGTGAAAAAAGTCGCCTTCTGTCCTTCTACTGCATCAGTTGGAGCGCTTAGAAACTGTTCTAGGCGATGAGACAAAGCCGATATTGTGTGTTCGTATTCGCCATACTGCGCTTTTAGGGATGTTTTTTGAATAAGATTTTTTACTTCGTCAAATTTCGTAAACACTTGGTCAAACTTTTGGTCCATTTCGGCGAATTTTTTCTTCATAAATTGCATTTCAGGAGACGGCGAACTTGGCAAGAATATGGAAATCAACGATATTGCTGGACCAATGGCACCCAGGAATGGCCCAATTTTCGATGCGATCTCGCCGATTTTACCAAAAGTCTTTGACAAATTTTCATCAGATAAAACCTCGACAATCGCATTTCCTGCGTCTATACCAGCATTGACTTTGCCAAGAACTTCTTGTTCATTCTCTCCGTAGCCCGATGAAGCAAAAACCAAAACGCATATTAAAGCGAGATACATAGTTTTCTTGTTGAGTCTGAAAAGAAAAAAAAAATCCATGTAGAAGCTAACAGGAAATCATTTCTAGATCTACAGCAAAGTTGAGATATAGGTTTACCCTTACCTACATTTTAACATGGGTAATTTTATTTAATTATGAAAATTTTAAACAAAATGTTATAAACCAAAGAAATAGTTTGCTTTTTAGGATAGACCGGACAAATTGATCAGGCGTTAGAAACCAGGGGCGGATTTACAGGAGGGGGTGGGCGTGTAGTAAGCCCGGCTGATGAGCTTGCTACTTTAGGCCCCTGTTGATCCGACAAAATTTCAAAATAATTTAGTGGCAAAACGGGAAGAGACGTGTTAAACACCCCACCCATAACCCTGTTGATTTCCCACCCAACCCCAGTTATGGCGCCAGGACCTGCCCGAATTATTATTATTATTATTATTATTATTATTATTATTATTATTATTATTATTATTATTATTATTATTATTATTATTTATTAGGCCTATTATTATCATTTTTATTATTATTATTGTGATGAAAAGTTAACACAAATTTATTTGTTTATTCCCCGGAAAATTTAACTCGTCTTCCCCGACTGGGAGGGGCTATGCTTCCCTGATCGGGGGGGGGGGGCAGCTCTAGCCCCTCTCCTTTTACCACCCTTGCCCAACCCCAAACTTACTGGATTCCCTTGTTGATCTGTCGTGTTTACGTAAATTCGTTGTGTTAATTGGTGGAGCTGGCTTGACCCTTAATTTTCCACTACCCCCTAATTACTGGATCTTTTGCTAACTTATTTATGGGACAATTTGAAGCCAATTTCCTGTCCCTACAGCCCAAGAAACCAGATGTTTGGTTTCGTTACATTGATGATATCTTCATGATCTGGAAGATGTGTATAAGAGACAGCATTTAACTCTGTAAAGGTGTTTTTAAATACTTGTATACAATAAAATTACTTAATATTGGATTTGAGTCGCTGTCTAAAAAAGTCGAGTTTTGTACGACATTAAAAACATGAGTGAAAAAGATATGGCCACGTTAGTTGAACACATTTCATCTTTTTAAGAAGCCACTTAACTAGCCATAGTTATTTATAGGTTTATTAAACAAAAGTTATCTTTTAACAATATATAATTTAAAGCTACATAAAGGGGGGGGGTTCTCTGGGCGTGGGGTCCAGGGGCCTGCCTAAGGGCCACGGTGGGAAGCCAGAGCAGTTTTTGTGTTTAATGGGTCTATATAATGTTTTAAAAGCAGTTATGTTTTGAAAAAGATCTATGTAATAAAAAGGTGGTAATATAATAAAATTAGAAAATATTTTATGAGAATTGGAATGTTTAAATAACACCGAAAGATATAAAAAAAAAACCCTTATCGCATAATCAATATCAATATACTCAACACATTTATTATTATAATACAAAAAATAGGCTATTCTTCTTCTTCCTCCTTTTCCTATTCTTTTTCTTCTACTACTTCTTCTTGACTCTCATTTTGTACACTGAAAATAATAGTAGGCCTTATATTTTACTACATGGTTAAAAAAAAGCACAAATATTGTCATTACTACTGACAGGGCCATCGTTAAATTAAGTCAGAGCCCAAAATATACTGTAGCATCATATTCAATACGTTATCTGACATCATGAGAAACTAAACTTTAATACAATTATTTGTTATAATAACTAGGCATAATTCGAAATTATACTGATTAATAATAGCTGTGATTTGATGCACATTTTAGAATTAATAATCGTTTTTAGTATATCTTCCTGAATATTGATTGTCTACCAAATGAAATATGAATTATATGCATCTTTAGAAATACAATTTCTACAATATTAATCTTGTTTTTATATAGATAAATGTTCGATAAATTCTATCTTTCATTAAAAAAAACCAACGAAATTCAGCGCGTCTATTTTCATTCTAATCAATGGCGTTTGTAAACGTGCACTGATGTCATCGTCGAATTCCAGGACTTTCTTTCGACGGTAAAGCTGGCCTGCCTGCCCCGGTCCTAGGCCAACCAATAACAATTAACAAAATGTTTTTGTTTTTTTTTTAATATAGGCATATGGCGCATTTTGTACATGCACTTCAACTTTTACAACAAAAGCCTAGGCCTACTACCTGTAGTACGCCCTACTGTACTTAGGCCTATAGGCCTACACTAGTTTGTTGACGTCGGGGTATAATGCTGTCTCTAAATGAACGAGGAGCGAACCTAGCTAGTCAACATCTAAGCTAGGTTAATTGATTTTGAAATCAATAACCCACCTTAAAGGACTAGGCTATCTGTCGTTTTCATTGCAACATCGGACGAAAAAAGTCAGTTATTCTAGGACGTTTCATAATTCGTCTTTATCACTAAAAATTAACAAACACTCGTTTTGACGCACTCCGTTCTGTACTGTGTGTCTGCTGTTGAAAACAAACTTCCTAGCCTAATTTTGTGACTGGCTATGATGACTGAGATGGACATTGTTGATTTATTAATAATATTTTGATTGGGATGGAAAAAAGGAGAGTCAATATCCCCAAAATGCTCCATCAGCACATAGTTTAGTGTGCGCATGAACAGTATGGCTATGGAATTTACTAACCACACAATCCACAATCACGTGATTAAGTCGCAAAACTTTATCTGCATTAGGTGGATTAAGTCGCAAAACTTTGGCTTCGTTTGGTGGCACCCAGCTTTGGATGGAATACCCAAGACCAAGTCAAAATACCCAAGATATTGGGTAACCCAAGCAGTGGTCACGCTGGTGGCACCATTTACTCTAGGTAGACGGCGACCGGTTTCGTTAAGGGTTGGTACATTTCTTACAAACATTCAGCCAAAGAACAGTGAAAGTTGAGACGGCAGCTGGGTTTTTATCGATGTTTGCCATCCTTATGTGTGCCATCGTAAAGTCATGGTTTGCTGGAGTTGCGTTCAATTTAAATCTCCGAACTTCTGAAGCTGAGATATTAAATGAATGTAGGCCTGATTCGCAGGCTACCAAATATATAAGTAATGAATTAGGTGCTAAATTTTGATTTAATGCTAGGTAAGTTAAAAACATGATATTCCGTCCGAGTGGGACGGAATATCATGTTCGAGGGGATTCGCTAGAAAACAGGGGGGTTCGCCCGAACCATAAAAACCTACCTGGCTACGGGCCTGTTAGGCCATTTGATATTTAAAATGTGGCGAAGGTGTCGTCTATGGGTTATGTGAAGATCATCTAATACACTGTTATATAGGGACAGACCAGTTGCTGCAGTTGTATAACATGACAGAAACTACCTGGGCTTCATAGACTACTAGACGTCTCTGGAGTGAAATACATCTTCGACGGTTCCAAAATGTCGTGTTTATTTACGAAAGGTCGAGGTGTTGGTTGGAGGTAGGGATGGCTAGACCCTAAATTTAAACTTCATTGTCGCTAGCTATGTTGATGTCTTGCATTATGGCATTACGGGAGAATAGCCATATTGACGCGATCCAAATTGACCCGAATTCGAGAGAGAGGGGCCTACGGACGCTACTGAAACTATGCTATAGCTAGGCTAGACCTGTGCGCGTGGGCTGGCCTAGGGTAGTATTTATATAAAGTGAATTCAATATTGAAATAATGTTAAGTAAAACACTTAGGCTTGGATAAAAATTATTATTATTCAAAACGTTGATTATATGTTAAAATACAAAATATATTTCAACTTGACGTTGAAAAGATGTTGAATACATGTTGTTAGTCTAATTTTAAAATCTCTACAAGTTTTTAACCTTTATAACATCATGAATTAACGTTGAATAAAAAATACGTTTTTGGTAGAAAATTTCAATGTTGATTTTACATTAAAATACAAACTATATTTTAACTTGACGTTGAAAAGATGTTAAATTAAAAATTATTAACCAGATTTATAACATTAATTCAATGTTGGAATAACGTTAAATAGCTAACCAAAACTTCGGTTAAAATGAACATTTTAACTTTGAGCAAATGTTTTCAACATGATTTCAACGTTTCAATGTTCAAATATCGTTGTGTGCCTATTCAGTTACTTATAGACATCGCACACATCTCCATATATACATAATTTGGACTGGTTTCCCACTAATTCACAAATAAAGTATACTCCTCCTACTAACATTTTAAGCATTACGAATTCAATAGCCACTCACCTATTTGATCTCATTCCTTAGCCTCCCTCCGTTATTCTGATCTTAACTTGCTAATTGTTTCTAAAGTTCTTGTTAACTTGCAGTACACCAGGCAAATCGTTGTGAAAAGAACTGTTTTTGTTAAGAATTGTCTCGACGTTTAGGATTCAATTGTCGTCAGGAGAATAGTACCTGCTCAGAGTCCAAACAGGGAAATACTTATATGACTAGATAATGAAGCTTGCTGCTGATTGGTGGAAAGCCCATGAAGTACTCCTGCACAACTAACCAATCATTCGCGGCGAGTGTTTCCAAAGGTGTTAAAACAATTGGCAGTCACTAGATTTTTCACCTGAGAGATTTACTTGAGTTTCACAAAGAGCGTCTGAAGCGGTCCAGCTGGTCCGGTTTTGGCCCAATAATTTACAACTCAATATTATCATTTGTAAGCTAAATTCTACTTTCTCATTCAGCTTATTGAAGTACTATGGAACAAATTTGAAATGATTTCATTTTTACTATAGTTAAGTATTAATAGCTTAAGCCTATTTATCGTGATTTGATTAAATACGTAAATAATATTCGGGAAATACCGGGTTGGCGTCCAGCGGGAAATTTATTTTATTTCGTTTTATTTCAACAATATTTAAAGGTGAACATCCCAAGTTCTCAGAAGGGAGGCTAACGTTCAGGAGCCCTCGTTGATAAATATAATACAATATCATACAATGAGTCTTTTTTTTTTTTGGATGTTTATACATATATATATGTTTATACATATATATATTTTTGGATGTTTATACATATATATATATATATATGATAACATTATCTAATTTTATATATTTATTTTATTGAATAT